TTGAGAGTGTTCCCTTAGATCAAAATCGTATATTTTCCCTTCTTACACCAAGCCCTGGCAGAGTGCCCCCTTACACCCAATTCGGAAAGCCCCCTTCTTACATCAAGTCTTGCAGATGTCCCCTTACATGCAGAGTTCGGTATACTCCCCTTCTTACATCAAGAGTCTTGCTGAGAGCCCCCTTACATACAGATAGTGGTATAGGTCCCCTTGCTTGACATCAGAAGTCAGAGGAGGAGAAAGATGGGAAAGAGAAGGAAGGGGGAGGGAGAAAGATGGGAGATAGAAGGGAGGGGGGAGGGAGAAGAAGATGTGGTAGAGAAGGGAGGGAGCATGTGCTTCAGCTCTTTTTCACCCCAAGCTGGTTCTGGTGGCTCAGGCAGGTCCTTCAGTCTTGCAGCCACCATGTAGTTGGCAGCTATATAGAGCTTCAAGTATCCCCCCGCACCGACACATCTGCTCAAAGTACAGCACTGGTGTGAGGATTTGCAGTGTGTGGCGGGGCATCCCATGAGGAGAGGGGCGGGTTATGTTACAGAGGGCAGGGGTGGGTACAGGACTCAAAGGGAGAGAGGTGGGCATAACCATGAGGAGAGGGGCGGGGCAGTCCACAAGGAGAGGAGTGGAGGAGGTGGAGGAAGTGGACATTGATCTCTCCTCTCTTCCGTCCTATGGCAGAGAAGGAGAGGGGAGTGTGCTGGTAGTTCTCTGTCACAGACACTGGACTTGATAGATGCAGCCAACCGCTGCACACAGCTTCATCTGATGGACATCATCCACAGCTTGCCTGGGTGGCACAACTGATATCTGGGGGTATCGCCCACCCCAGCACCCCCCTAGATCCCGGCCATGGTTTTATGGTGCTACTCACAATATCTTACTGTCTGCTCTTGTTAGTTGATTCACCATTTCATCAGCCATGAGCCCAACCACTTCCTGTGATATGTGAAAGGTTGTAGAATCTCTGTAATTATAAATAACTGTTCATTAAATGACCTCTCATCCTAACTGCTGCCTACAGCTATTTCCTTTTGTGAAAAAACGTACAATATAAAGCACGAGGTCCTCAAACTGCGGCCCGCGGGCCACATGCACCCGCTGAGCACATTCATACGGTCCGGCCGGGCAGAGGGACACTAATGTACAGGGGCGGGCAGGGGGCTGCTGTCTTCTTAACCTGGCTCCGGTCCCCCAGTCCCCGACGATCCAGTCCCAGTATGCGCAGCTCCTTCACTCCGGCTGCTCCTTCACTCGATGTCCACGCTGCCGCTCGGCTTACTCTTCCGCCTCCTCACCCGGTGATTGGGCATCCAGTACTGTAGCTCAAGAAAGGCACACAGGTGACCAATCACCGGTGAGGAGGCGTGGGAGTCGAGCGGGCCCCCACGAAAATCAAGGGAGGGAGAGGCAGAAGTGAAGGAAGGAGGACAGCTGACCGCCCGCCGGTAAAGTGTGCCGTGCAGATGGTGCTGCTGCAACCAGGTAAATGCTGGAACAGAGGTCAGCAAGTATAGTGTCAGTGGTGTCCCAGTGGGAGGATAGTGCCCCATCATTGGTGTCAGTGGGAGGAATAGTGCCACCCATCATTGGTGTCACTGATAATAATGATGGGGCACTATTCCTCCCACTGACACCAATGATGGGACACTATTCCTCCCACTGACACCAATGATGGGGCACTATTCCTCCCACTGACAACAATGATTGGGGCACTATTCCTCCCACTGATACCAATGATGGGGCACTATTCCTCCCACTGACACCAATGAATGGGGCATTATTCCTCCCCCACTGACACCAATGATGGGGCACTATTTCCTCCCACTGACACCAATGATGGGGGCACTATTCCTTCCACTGATACCCAATGATGGGGCACTATTCCGCCCACTGACACCAATGATGGGGCACTATTCCCTTCCACTGATACCAATGATGGGGCACTATTCCTTCCACTGATACCAATGATGGGCACTATTCCTCCCACTGACACCAATGATGGGGCACTATTCCTCCCACTGATACCAAGGATGGGGCACTATTCCTCCCACTGACACCAATGATGGGGCACTATTCCTCCCCACTGATACCAATGATGGGACACTATTCCTCCCACTGGACACCAATGATGGGGCACTATTCCTTCCACTGAGATACCAATGATGGGGCACTATTCCGTCCCACTGACACCAATGATGGGGCACTATTCCTTCACTGATACCAATGATGGGACACTATTCCTCCCACTGACACCAATGAATGGGGAACTATTCCTCTACCACTGACACCAATGATGGGGAACAATTCCTCCCCACTGACACCAATGATGGGGAACTATTCCTCCCACTGACACAATGATGGGGCCACTATTCCTCCCACTGACACCAATGATGGGGCACTATTTCCTACCCACTGACACCCAATGATGGGGCACTATTCCTCCCCCCACTGACAACCAATGATGGGGCACTATTCCCCCACTGACACCAATTTACGGGCACTATTCCTCCCCCCACTGACACTACCAATGATGGTGAACTATTTCCTCCCCCCACTGACACCAACGATGGGGCACTACCCACCGTCATCGTACTATTCCACCCCCCACCCCCCACTGACACCAATGAGTGGGCACTATTACTCTCACTGACACCAGTGATGGGGCACTATTTCCTCCCACTGACACCAATGATGGGGCACTTTTCCCCCCACTGACACCAACGATGGGGCACTATTCCTCCCACTGACCCAACGATGGGGCACTTTTCCCCCCACTGACACCAACGATGGGGCAATATTCCTCCCACTGACACCAATGATGGGGCACTCTTCCTCCCACTGATACTAATGATGGGGCACTATTCCTCCCACTGACACCAATGATGGGGCACTATTCCTCCCATGATACCAATGATAGGGCACTATTCCTCCCACTGACACCAATGATGGGGCACTATTCCTCCCACTGACACCAATGATGGGGCACTATTCCTCCACTGATACCAATGATGGGGCACTATTCCTCCCACTGATACCAATGATGGGGCACTATACCTCCCACTGATACCAATGATGGGGCACTATTCCTCCCACTGATACCAATGATGAGGCACTATTCCTCCCACTGACACAATGATGGGGCACTATTCCTCCCACTGACACCAATGATGGGGCACTATTCTCCCACTGACACCAATGATGGGGCACTATTCCTCCCACTGACACCAATGATGGAGCACTATTCCTCCCACTGACACCCAATGATGGGGCACTATTCCTCCCACTGACACCAATGATGGGGCACTATTCCTCCCACTGACACCAATGATGGGGCACTATTCCTCCCACTGATACCAATGATGGAGCACTATTCCTCCCACTGACACCAATGATGGGGCACTATTCCTACCACTGATACCAATGATGGGGCACTATTCCTCCCACTGACACAAATGATGGGGCACTATTTCATGAAAATATGCAGCGCTCATAAATTGGAGATTAACCAGATCCCATATGTTAGAGAAAACCTGATCGCATATAATAGATATAAATTAGATAAGATTCATGATAAAAATAAAACATAAAATGTAGACATATTAAACTAGTGACTTCTGTGCTGCTGCATCCAGGGTTGGGAAACCATAGAAAACGTTTGTGACTCTTGTGTTGATAAAACTGAGAATAGTTTGCACTAACCAGATGTCTCAGCACATGGAGCATGGAGTAATTAAGAACATGGGGCAGCTAAATGGTATGTCCAGACAGTTGGGGGGCACCTCCCATTTAGCTGCCCCATGTTTCCTGTGATTCATAATTTGGAGCCCGGGCTTTTTGAAGGTGCTCGGTTCCTCCTGGTCTCCTGTGTGTTGCTGGCTGGTTTGCTGGATTAATTCTTCCATTGGCTGATGTATATCTCCAGGATCAATTTAGCTATTTCTCTTGTCACAGGCAATGAAAGTGCACTCCAGAATGGAGAATGATTTTTTTTTACAAGGAACTCTCCATTTTTTTATTATTACTATTTTTTTAATCATAGGTTTTGATTTTTACCTTACTGTGTGCCAGTAAACCACTTTTTTTCTTTTGCCACGTTCACAGAATTAGTCAATACACTATTGTACATTGCATGGAAATTTGGACCACATCTTTTGGAGTCCCAGAGAAATTGCAAGCCATTGGTGTGAGATGTAACATTTATAAATACCTGAATGATGGAAGTTAGTATAACGTCACCTCACTCACTAAGCTAAGTAAAAAATCCTCTCAAAGTGAACATTGGGGGTGATTTACTAAAACTGGAGAGTGTGAGATCTGGTGCAGCTCGGCATAGAAAACCAATCAGCTTCCAGGTTTTAATGTCAAAGCTTAAGGCGGAGCTCCAGTCAAACTAAAAAAACTGTAAAAAACAGCCACTCATCTGTCCCTCGATCCAGCAATGTCCTCACCAGAGCAGTCCTTACTGGCTGTCCTCGCTTCCCGGTGCCGGCATCCCAAGTGTGAGTGTTTTTACATTCAGGAACAAGCAAACATAAAGTACATAAAATGTTTTATTAACCAACTATATACAGTACAGTAAGTTACAGGTGGTAACTATGGCATACTCCCAATAGTAGCGGGCACGGAGTAATGGACACACACAGTGCCTACAATGCACAAGTTCTTCCAGCCCGAGGGAGAACAGACGTAATCAGGATTGTTATAATAAAGCGTATCTCACCAGTTACACGAGTTCCGGCTGCTTCTGGCCATGCAGTGATGTGGGATTGCGGACAGGTTCACCGGACAGTAGGTGGCAGCATGTGGGGAGCAGCAAGATGGTCGCCTAGCAGTTTCCAGGACCAGTGTGGAGTAGAATCAGTTGTAAGGTATGTCACGCTGCCTCCATTCGTAAGTATGAGTTGTACATAAGTAGAATGTTTGTAACTCGGGGACTACCTGTACTCAGAGTCAATGTCATTTAGCCCTCTGGGTTAGAGCATACTAAGTGCGTCTGATACAACACATACATCCTTCTGAGTCGGGAACAATGGTAAAATATAGCAGCCAGACAGACAGGAGCTGGATGACTGTGGCAGGTTTTGGCATCCCGGATGGTACTTGGGGACTTATGTGTTTATTGTCCTCCACCACACATCCTGGAGCCCACTGAAGTTCAGGGTTGACCTGGGAACCTAGGCTGTGGGTCTCGGGAGTGGGCCTTTACATATGTGCACATTGTGTGCTGTCAAAGGAGAGACGCAGTAAGCTGATGAAAAGGGGACAAGTTCTGCCTTCTTGCCTTGAAATGCTATGTAGTACTGTAAGCATCAAGAAGAACGTGTCCCTGGGTTTGCTGCATAAAGAGCTTTCTTCTCAGAAAATGCAATGGTGTGGAGTGCTATATTAATATGGTTCATGGATACCTAACCTGCCCTAAGAGGCGACCTCCTAACGTGTGTCCAGAGGGTAGACTGTTTAGTCTGTCAGGTACAAGCCTAACAGTCCTGCAACTGAGAAGTCATATCCCTCTGGAGAGATCTACATGGAGGAAAGAAGCGGCACCTCTTCCAGACTACGTTGTTGAAAGCCCTATCCAACTGGTCCAAGGAGGTTCTTTCATGTCTAAGTCTGTACTAAATAAAGAAAGCACTATCTATTTGTTTGTATATTCTGTCTGTTTAGTTTGTCATGTGACTACCAAAAGCAATGGTATCTGCCGAAACAACAATATATAGGATTCAACAGACTGAAATCTGATTGTTTGTTGCTAACACAACATGCATCTTCCACAGATTTCAATTCCAGAGACAGTAAACAGTCCTTGAGCTTGGGGGGGGGGGTTAGGGTCTATTAAGGGAATTTAACGTGGATGAGATAAGGGGTTGTATGGGATGCCTAATGGAACTGCAATTGAGGACAACTTCCTGGAACTATGTACAAGTCTTTTAGACAAACAATCCTCTTCTTGGAGAGCTCAACAGTCTCTCCTGGTGTACCACCCCAGACCCCACATAAACCTCCTCTATCCAGCTGTCTGAAGGAATCCCTAGACATGGGATCCTGTGCCTGTCACTTTGATGTGAAACAGTCCTGGGCAAGGAGCTAATGCAGTTTCCCACAAGAGTGCTTCTTTTCCCTCAACTGGCCCAGGGGGTGTAGGATTACTCACCCAGCCCATATGCCTATGAGCTGGTGGGTTGGTGACTGCCTCCAGGCCAGCTACTTCCCTGCTTCACAGGTGGTCATCTCTCTGGGGTCCAATGAGGTCTGAGCTTTCCTCCTCTCCAGCGCCACTGCCTGGAGGTGAGCCCCTTCCCAACTGGGCCCCTCCCAGGCTTCTGCACCTCATACTTCTCACTCCATCTTCCCTCAAACTTTCCTGCTGCTGAGCAGGCTCAGACACTCTTAAGGGCTGTCCTGACCCCTTGCCAAGCCTCCTGTGTAGTATTGGCCAGGATCCCTTGAGAGTGAAGACCGTCTCCTCCTCACTCCCGCCCACTGAGCTCTAGAGACTCCTTTAAGTCTCTAGATCAGTCAGAGGTATCAGGGAGCTGCTCTGCAGAGCCTCTCAGTCCTGACCCAAGTTTGATCCTGCTAACTATCACACCCAGGCCACACTACTCAGCCTCTAACAAGAAATTAAACTCTAGTTCTCTCTAGCTAACTAGGAGGGTGCTACAAACATAAGGTCAGTAGGCAAGTTCTGAGGGATCAAGGTCATAAGTAGAGATGAGCGAAGAAATGAAAAATTCGATTCGACTGATTCGGCGAATTCGTGGACAATATTCGATTCGAGTCGAATAAATTCGCTTTGAATTTAACTTAAAAAAGGGTGTTTCTAGGCTTCAGAGAGATTTAATATTAGTGCAGAACACTGTACCTTTAATTTAAATGCCCTTGGAGTCTGCTGGGGAAGAGAAATAATACTGTCAGTCAGTATGACATGCAGATGAGTGCCGTTGATCTTAGAATCACCGCACACTTCACTCATTTGGCCAGTCACGGGGCCAAAACCAGTGTTTGGAGCCACAGTGTGGCGGTGGAGGCAGCAGCAATGGGAGGCCATACAGCAACCTATGACAAAATGGAAACCAGCAGGAGTGTGAGGAGACCTGAAAGTGGCACATGGCAGAGTGGGAGCAATGGAGGCGGTACAGGGACCCAGGTCACACTGTGGGCCCAGCAGCAGCGTGACCAGGCGGTACGGGGGCCCATGGCAGATTTGGGGCCTGGCAGCACCCTATGGGAGGCCTGTAACCTGCCAGCAACCTATGACAAAATGGAAAACCGCAGGAGTGTGAGGAGACCTCAAAGTGGCACATGGCAGAGTGGGAGCAATGGGAGGCGGTACAGGGACCCAGGTCACACTGTGGGACCAGCATCAGCGTGAACAGGCGGTACGGGGGCCCATGGCCGATTTGACCTCGTTCATCCCATAGTCCTGCCGACTCACGAATAGCGTGGCCTCCTCAAAGGGCCTGAGCAAGCGCAGGTGTCACGCATGAGCTGACAATGGCTGACATCTAAGTTACACAGGGAGTACCTTTATCCGCTTTTAACATCAGGAAATCTGTGATGGCCTTTCGCTGTTCGTAAAGGCGGTCTAACATATGTAGGGTTGAATTACACCTTGTTGCAACGTCACAGCATGAGGAGTCGGTATGACAAAAAATGGACAACCGCAGGAGTGTGAGGAGATTTCAAAGTGGCACATGGCAGAGTGGAAGCAATGGGAGGCCGTACAGGGACCCAGGTCACACTGTGGGCCAGCAGCAGCAGCGTGACCAGGCGGTACGGGGGGGCCCATGGCCGATTTGGGGCCTGGCGGCACCTATGGAAGGCCTGTAATCTGCCAGCAACCTATGACAAAATGGACAAACCGCAGGAGTGTGAGGAGACCTTTCAAAGTGGCACATGGCAGAGTGGAAGCAATGGGAGGCCGTACAGGGACCCAGGTCACACTGTGGGCCCAGCAGCAGCGTGTGACCAGGCGGTACGGGGGCCCATGGCCGATATGGGGCCTGGCGGCACCTATGGAAGGCCTGTAATCTCTGCCAGCAACCTATGACAAAATGGAAACCGCAGGGTGTGAGGAGACCTCAAAGTGGCACATGGCAGAGTGGAAGCAATGGGAGGCCGTACAGGGACCCAGGTCACACTGTGGGCCCAGCAGCAGCAGCGTGACCAGGCGGTACGGGGGCCCATGGCCGATTTGGGGCCTGGCGGCACCTATGGAAGGCCTGTAATCTGCCAGCAACCTATGACAAAATGGAAAACCACAGGAGTGTGAGGAGACCTCAAAGTGGCACATGGCAGAGTGG